CCTAAGTATAGAATTGTGACTTTATTCCACTTATCTCCTCAATTCTAGTTGAATATATAAAAGAAACTAAACGATTTCAAAGACGTTAGACAATTTTAATTGTTTTAATATATATAGGGACCATCGATACTTTCCTCACATATGTATATACATACGTAAGAGAAACGACGAAGTTGTCTGTTAATCCTGACCAACGCTAAATGAGAGAGAAGATGGGAGATCTTCTTCACTCTGTGAGAAGAGCAAATTGAAGTACCAATTTGTAAAATTACGGGGAACAGATGCGCGCAAGAAAGGTAATAGCGTCGATTAATGCTGTTCCCCCGATCAAACTCGGGAAAAAGATATTATTGTGCGGAAATCCTGAAACGTACACGTGCAAGATCAAAGAAGAGAGAAGAAGTTAAAGAAGAAAGAAATAACGAGAAAGAGCTTTGTGGCTCGATTTCATTCTTTTATTTGATAATAAAAAAACGAACATACAAGGGGAAAGTGTCCTCCTCTCTCGATATATACAATAAACATTCCGCTACCTTCGCTAACATTGCTACTCATTAGCCATTAGATGAAACGCAATTCTATGCGATTTATGTTCGTTACAGCGTATTTACTTCCATTACCATATCCTCCCGCATCCGTCACATTCATTGTAAAGAAAAATAACTCTCTCATCTGATTTCTCCCCAAAATCACCGCAGATTTTTTCGACATATCACGTATGATGAGACAGCGGTTCCTTGGAACGTATTTCTTCGAGAAAGAAAATTTAGCCGAACGAAAAACACACCGAAGTAAATACGATGAGAAAAAACCGTAGAAAAAAAATCGTAGAAGGTCTACGATCGTATATTGATCCTAATAGGATACAATTTTATTAGCACGTAGCTCTATCAACCAAATGCTAAATTTTGCCTTGGCTTTTTCGATTTAATATCATAAAGACACTCTCTCAAAGAGTCGACGTTATCATAAAATGAGCTTGCTTTACGACTGTAATATCATTTTGTAACGATCTTTCGAGAAGGAGTAAACATGAACCACATGATATATTAAATGCTCGGAACTTTTTAATATATATTACCAGAATATATTATGCAGAAGAGATAACCAATAACCATGTATTACATTTAATATCAATATGATAAAATTTTGATAACTCTTGAAGCTTGTTTGTTATTGAAAAGCTGCTTTTGAGAAAATAATTAAACGAACGTTAAATCCTAACGTAAAAACTGCCATATTTAATTAAAATATTTCACTGAAACTAGTATAATTTTGACGATCCTTTTTACTTCAATAAAATCTTATTTCTTTTTAATAAACAAAAAATATGTACGTATATTTTCTTCTACACTATAGATATAATATATATATATATATATAACCATCTTTATTTTATTTATTGTGTTGTTATTAATTATCTAATTATTAATTTACAAAATTATTTATTATTCTCTTTGTATTTATAGCTAATTCAGTTTTTGTAATGATACGATTTATTAAAGATTTTTATATCATGTAAAGGTCGTGAAAAGATCTATATATTTTAAATAAATACGGTATTGCATATCATAAACAAATAAAATAAACAACGAGATCTCAGACCGATAATAAAACACCTAAATTTCATGAGTTTATTCTAATGCAACGTTATATTACGAACACAAGCAGATGAAATTTTTTATGACTATGACTTCTTCAAATTACTTTTTATATTAAAGATAAATTATACATATTTTATAAATACATATTAAATTTCTGTTGATTTGTGAATTTCAAAACCGTTGAAGAGAACTTATAGAAATATGTTTATATATTACTATTGACTCTCATGACCGCTTTGAACTTTTATTTCTTCCTGCTATTGCTTTCTTGTTATATTTGCGAGGAAACAGCGCCAAAGTGCTTCATACCATTTCTCATATTCGTATAGGTATAAAAGAAAAGACGTGCCTCTGTGACGGTGAATTAAAAAATTAAAGTCTGTAATTGTACAACAATTTCGCGACAAACTTGGTAAGCACACACTTACTTCATTGACGCATACGTACAAATGATTTTTATTATTATCTAATAATATTTAATTTATGTCTGAAGCTTAATCCTTTCAGACCTAATTTTATCGGAATCACGTTAAAAAAAATTTTTTTTGTAGAATGTGTTCCCCTGAATAAAAATCACCCCCATTTAGGCGTAGACGGTTTAATGTTTCCGAGATATTTCAATATTAAAGTTGATAACGGCATTTCCTTTAGAGTTTATTAAAACGTTCATACTCGAGTATTTGTAGTGTAGTGGATATGATAATAATCTCTCCATGTAGCACAGAATTTGCAACAATATCGCTGCAAAATCTCTGCATGCAATGTTGCTGCAATGCTGCAGTAATGTTGCTACAACATTTGTACAATATTGCAGAGATCGTGCAGCGATATTGCTGTAAATTCTGTGTTGTATGGGGAGGTTGTTATTATGTCCATTACGCTACAAATACTCCATAAGAACGTTTAATATCTCTCTAAAGGAAATGCCGTTATCAACTTTAATACTGAAGGATCTCAGAAACAACAAATCGTCTATGCTTAAATGGGGGGTGATTTTTATTCAGGGGAACACATTCTACAATCCTCCTAAGTTTCATTGAAATCGGTGAGGGTAACTCTGGAGCCTCTCCTTGTTAGATGATGTAGATAGAATTAAATAATTTCAACGAATATTGTCTTCAAATTTGATGTACATTACAACATACACGATCTGAAGGGATTAAAATGGAGTTTATTTTATTAATATCAACATTATTGAAATATTTTCTAAATTACTGTGAAAATAAATAAAAATTCGTATAATTATAAAGATGACCGCTATAATTCTACAGTTCCTTAAATTATTATTGTATGATACATTTGCGAAGGAGCAGCATCAATGTGCGTCATACCATTATTCGTAAAGGTATGACAAAAAGGACGTATCTGTCACGGCGATTTAACTAAGAAATTGAACAGTCTGCAATCAAACAATACTTCTACAACGTAATTAGTAAATACATAACACATATACTTGACATGCAAGCACACACACACGAAATAATATCTTTATTATTCTAATTTAAATAATCACGACACGAGCAAACAAAATATTTAAATAAATAAAACATTTAACAATTTTATAAAATAGTCAATATAATACAATAATGCATAAAACATGTAGGCTAACAGAATTTTCATTAACTCATGACTAATATATAAAAGAAACAAGAATATTATGAATTATAATATTAAATACGGTTCTAAATGAATTCAACTAGACAATTAAGGGCCAAAGAAGACAGACTAGATCTATTGTGCTGATACATAATAAAACATCCTCTTTAAATATTCCAAATTCGATTAAATTTACTATGATCCGTTTCAGTGGTGCATGTAATTTTACAATTACAATAAATGATAGTAACAATATATTATTGAGTTTCCATTATATCTATACGACACTGATGAGTATCGTCAATTAATTATTCGTTAAAATTATAGATATCATGTGATCTTCCTAGTATGATCGTTGATTTCAAACAATTAGTACCTAATTTATTTTGCAAACTAACAAGCGTCTGCTTAATTTGTTTGATTACCATCATTAATTATTTAATAGTATTTAATCTATACTTCAAATCTACAAGACATCTTACGTTTGTTTTATGGATACCAACGTTTTGACAATATTATCACGGCTTCTAACTGTAAAAACAAGATGACAAATTCTAATATTATTAAAACATGTACAGCGTGCAGATATACATTGTATTTTTAAATTATAGTTAATGCACAGATACGGAAAGATAATAAATCGTTTAAATTTTGTTCAAAAATGGTAACTACAATTAGTAGTAACACCAGATTGCACTATTTAATCAGCAAGTTCTTGAATATTAATGAATAAAGACATTTGTAAAATTTGTCCAAAAATAATCGGTATACAATTCACATAACATATTTCGATAGATATATTATTTATAACAAATTATTGCAAGTAAATTCACCATATACTATCGCTCAAAGGTTTGGAGTATTCATAATTTTTAGATAAATAACGATTCTTCACCAATTATCTCATTTAAAAAAATAAAGTTCATTTTCATTTTTATACGTACATTATTAATTTACAATTGAGATAATATAAATTTTAATATAAATATAATAATATGGCTCAATTAGAATAAATCAAAGTAAATAAATAGAAGGGCTACGAGCCACTTAGAAATAAATTAAAGTATACATTAGATATAAATAAATTATAGTATATTTATCAAGATATAAATAAATTATAGTAATCTTAATCAATAAGTTAGTTAAATTTTCTTTCGAAATTTAGAAATGCACCAAACTTCTCAACAATGGCGTACATATTACAGTATAGATAGGTATAACTTAACAATCATCCCCCCAACATTACATTATCTCAAATAGCTCGCTAATATCAACCTTTTCAACCGTAACATTAAATTTACTATTATAATATAACAATTTGTAAATCATTACACGTAGCTTTCAGTAAAAATTTAATAGCCTTGTGTTCCAATTTTAATTTAGTATTATGGCAGAGAGGCCAAATGGCGATTGCTACACAACTGACGATCTTCCTTATATTCGAATTCCTTTGTCGGCACCAATCATCTCAGAAATCGCAGAAGGTATGTATACAATGTTTATCATTTAATTCACTAAACACATCATATTCGATGCATATGTTATGATAACAGTTCTGCAAAATGGAATGCAACCCTTGTTCCACGAAGTGAACGTCGATGTAGCTAGCTGCCCTTGTCTAACTGGAGCACCATATAATCTTGCCGGAGTAGGTAAGAAATCACAACAAAAAGCGTTTAATTTTTCAGTAAATAAAGTATCTTTAAAAAGTGACTAATTCATACAGGATTATGTGGCAACACGTCGGTAATGAAATACCGACGCTTCATTACAGAAAACTTAGAGGAGCGGAATCACACAACACGGAATATTCGAGATATACTCACAACCAGCTGCCATGATTCCTTTATCATCGGATCTACTTACGCTACAAAACCATCCATGCCTTATTACGGACATGTACGTATTATCAATATTTTCATATTGTTATGCCCATGTGGAAAAACCATTATGATAATATGTTATGATAATATATCACTGCTACATAACTGGCAAGGTAACGGTAGACAGCAAACTGTGATAATCTACGAATCATATCACCAAATCACCGTTATCTTACCATTGTTTTGTAATCCTATTCTATTGATTTAAAACTATTCAATATAATCTATTGAACTTTAATTATGTTTTTATCATACACACGACTCCTATAGCATTATTGCTGTATCTAATAAACCTGATTACTGTTGTAGCTCATTATGAATGCAATGTACAGAGCATCTAATGATATTAGGAACGAGAGTCGCATTATTTTCGCAAACAGAGGTAACGGGCAGACAAAGATAGAAAAGTTAACTAATACTGATCATATGGTATTCACCAACATGGGCACTTTCTTTGTCAGCGAGGGTAGGGCGGGCAATGTTATCAGAGTGCGTGCCAAAGGTCGAAAAACTAGTGACACAGATATCATAACTTCAATGCAATCGGTCCTTTACGAAAAATACAAAAGAAATAGAAATGAAATTGTTGGTAATTAGTAGCCTGGTGTATAGGGTAAACTCGGATAAGATGGGCATACGGGCTCCATAGACTTTTAGAATGACTACAAAAATGCTCTCTATAGCAATTATTGAAAAAATTACAACCTATGACCATCTATTTCGTGTGGCCATAATACCCTAGTTTACCCTACAGTTAAAAAAGGACATGTAAAGACAATCAGATAATTTTTATGTCTGGCCTCAAAGCTTTAGGTGGTGTTCTAAGAATAAGAAACGGACGTGTGGCGTGTAATGTTATGTGCGATGAATATCAGGAACCGATGCCACTATTTTATGATTTTATTGAAGGACAGCAATGTCCCGAGATAGATCTGAAGTCAGATATGATAGCCGTGGGCGCAATAATTAACGATAAGCCAGAACTATTGCCTCGGGAACAGCGTTACGGTCTTGTAAGTTATTTGTCCCGGTATGCAGATACTAAAAACCATTGATCTTGAAGTTATCATATTATGTTATTTACCACAGATAAATATTATTAAAAATTTAACTTTTTATTTATTAATTAGTACAATTATTTTTGTCAATCCGCTTCTGTCAAATTTGAATCTGTGATTATTAAGTTGAGTTAAAATAGTGGAACCTTTCTTAATCATTTAATCATTGAATGCAATAACTGCGTTTCAATCCGAAAATTTAAACATTTCGAATTGATATTCTTTAGTTATTCGTTTTTCAGAATCTGTACAATAGAAGTGAGTTCCATTGTTTCTCTAATTATGAAGCAGGCGGACAATTTATTAGCGATACTACTCCCGATACGACGGAATATGAAGGTTACTTTAATGTAGCGGAACAGATGAATTTAATATTATAACTAAATGCCATTTTAATATAAAAATAGGTCATTATGTAATCTCATGTGTAAACAGAAATTTATGTAATGTCACCTAGCACATTATTGTGATGAAGACGTCACATCGAATTACAATACTTTATAAGCCTTCTTTGACGTATTTTTTATAAATTAAAGAGGATGTACAGTTCTTAATATTAGAGAAACATTTTAACAATTAATCCCTTTGGATTTAAAGGTATAGAATTTTGCTACATTTCCTTAAAACCAAAATTGAGAAACTAAATTCATAATTTATATATCATAAATTCATAATTTAATTACATTAATTAAAAATAATTTAAATTGTAATATTTTTCGATATAAGTAGAATTCTGAATTAGATAACATAATGACACGAAAAACTTTGTGGTCAAAGAGAACAAATATAAAAGATCAAAGAAAAATTCCATACTTCATTTTATCTATTTACTTGTTTCGTAGTATTAACTATGTGAGACTCGTTTTCGTTAAAGAGGTCTTAGATTAAAAATTACATATTACTGTACAGAATTAATAACCACTAAGTATTTTTGGTTTCCATATTTCTGAATCTTTTTGAAATTAGTCTTTCATTATCGAGACTAAATTCAAAATTAATAGAATTTTTCATTGACTCCACTGGAATTTTCTGATTGAAGTTCGCGTAGAAGATATTTTTCTTTGAAATTTTAAGATACCTTTCAGAACTTGTTTAGCATTAACTGAATACTATGTTAAAGCCCGATTGCACATCAACGTTACTTTATCTTTAAGCAAGGTTTTAAACTTTTTATATCTCGTTTTAAAGCGAAAAAGAGACAAAGACAGAGAGAGCGTTTTAAGCCTTGATTAAAGTCAAACGTTGCAACCGAGCCTAAGAAATATTACAATTTGTATCATTCGTTTTGTAGAAACATGCACTTAAATTTCTTGCAGTGAAATCTCACTCCAAGACAAACTACAACCACCCTTAGAAAAGTGAAAACTTTTTCTTTTTAAATTTCACTCTATTTGAAATAAAATTTCACTCCTTTGAAGTGAAAATTTACTTTAAAAAAGTGAAAATTGTCACTTTCTTTCAAAAAATCAAATATTTTCACTTGTTTAAGGATTGTATTATCACTTTCTTGAATTTGACTGAGATTTCACTGCAAGAAATGTAGAGCGTGATTTATTTTACCTGTCTATCTGCTTGTACATCAAATTTTTTAAAATATTATTACGCACTTTATGGGAATGAAATAATTTCTATGTGTTATATACTTTCACCATTACTTTTTATATTAAAAATTTGATAATAATGTTGCATTTTTTATGACTATAACGATAACATTGATATGACAATAATGATAACTAACGTTAAAGTTGCGCTAATGTTAAGAAAGTCACTTTGAAGAGTAACTTTTGTTTCTATTACGCGTTATGGTTACTGAAAAAGGTGGTAAGTAACTTATAATGCATCGACGAATTACTTTTTACGTTACAGGTAACAAATAAAAGTAAGTAGTTACAAATAAAACGTTATTTTTTTAATAACGACTTTCAATCTGTTAGAAGTAACGTTTGACTTTTCCAACTTCTTTGCTACCATTACCGTCATAAAAAATTCGCAATATCATTACCAAATTGTTATTGTAACGAAATAACGATAACAGTTAATTATTTCCTCGTTTACCGTTTCTCAATGTTAGAACTGTATAATGCAAATTTCTTTCTCACATTCATATCAAATGTGACGACTTCATACGAATTTGTCCATTTATATATAATGACCCGAAATAAATGTATTAAATTAAATCATTTTTATTTCTTATCAACTAAATTCTATATAAGATGTAATGTATATACAATTTGTATAACTACATACAATACATGTATAATCTTAATAAAAATTGACACATTGTGAAAGCTATATTTTCTGAACAATTTTTATAAAATTCAGTGATGATTCTATTTTCTGCGTAAATATCAACTTTAATCAATGATTGTTTTAGATCAATTTTTTAAGACAACTATTAATTTTAAAATGACACAATAACTTATAAAATACGTTAATAAAGTTTTATTAAGAAATAAGAATGATAAATATGTATATGAAGTAATAGTTAATAATTACAATCTTCCTACATATATTACAAGCGTTATGACATGAGGTACACGTTTCATGTAATGCGTTTATTGCATTTAGTGCACTGAATTCAATTTTCGCACTTGTATGCTTTGGGCATAAATCCCGTCCGCTAAAAATGCCGTATATCCTAAACAGGTGGGACATATAAAACAACAAACTAAACAAAGAATACGAAAGCAAAGAACTTGTATTTTACTGTACAATATGCTTTACTTTATTCCTGTACACGTATTAAATAACCACTAAATCTTTTACATGCCCTACAGTAATCATTTTATGTAGATTATAATTCGTGATGGAGCTACTTATTACAGTGACAAATCTATTCAACTCACAATAATTTCATTAATATTAACAGTAAGAAGCTGAAATGATAACACAATACTAATATAACATAAAAGAATGTAATAGGGTAATTACGGGAAAATTACCCCACTCCTATTTTTTTCTGACTTCTGCAGCGTAAATCCCAGCATGGCGTATTTGCCGGAGTTTTACCCCATGTATTTGAATGCATGTACTCAAACAGAACATGTTTAACTAAAGACGGCACACAATTTTTTCTGACTAGATTGCTTTCTGGATTAGATTTTTGCTACCATGTTGGCTGCGATGCTAATGCTGTCAGCCAATACGGTGGCAAGATTCTAGTCCAGCTTGCAACCCAACAGAAAAATAAGCACCGTTTGTCGCAGGCTTTAAATACGTTATACATTTTTCAGTAAAGAAATAAAGATTAAATTAATATAAGTCGAATGAAATATCCTTTTCTAGTATGAAGATCTATACATAGTTCCAATACATCAATTAGCTCCATCATTGCAGCATTACATGTTGAAATAAACAAAATAAACAACAATATTGGATTAATAATAAAACGTAGGTTAATAATAAAATATATATTACATAGGATCATTTTAACAATATCGCGTCTGTTTTCGAATAGACAAAGCTTTTTATAAATTTGTCGGTTTAAATCAACTTTTTATTAAAAATAAATAATGCATTTTAAATTTCAATTAATTTGTCGATTTCGAAAGCTGTCAACGATCACACAAACTTATGTTTATCTGTTACTGACTCTTACGACCGCTATAATTCTACAGTTCCTTCAATTATTATTGTACGATTTGCGAAGGAGCAGAGTCAATATGCGTCATACCATTATTCGTAAAGGTATGACAAAAAGGACGTGTCTGTGATGACGATTTATATAAAAAATTGGACAGTCTGCAACCAAAGAACACTTTTGCAACGTAATTAGTAAGTACACAACACATAAACTTGACATACAAGCACACACACGACATAATATCTTTATTATTCTAATTTAAATAACCACGAGACGAGCAAACGAGATATTTAAATAAGTAAAACATTTAACAATTTTATAAAATAGTCAATACAATAATGCATAAAACATGTCGGCTCATAGAATTTTCATTAACTCATGACCAATATATAAAAGAAAAAAGAATAACATGAATTATAATTTTACATACGGGTCTAAATGAATACAATTCCACTATACAATTAAGGGCTAAAGAAGACAGGCAGGTTGTAATTTGCTGATACTTAATAAAACATCGTCTTTAAATATTCCAAACTCAATCATTTTACTATAATCCCTTTCAGTGGTGCATGTAATTTTACAGTTTGAATAAATAGTAGTAACAATTATTAAGTTTCCATTATATTTATATCACACTAATGAGTATCGTCAATTAATTCTTCGTTAAAATTATAGTTATTATGTGATCTTTCTAGTATGATCGTTGATTTCAAACAATTAATACCTTCTTTGTTTTGCAAACTAATAAGCGTTTGATTAATATGTTTGATTATCTTCATTAGTTATTTAATAATATTTATAGTAATCTATACTTAAAATCTATGAGATCTATCTTGCGTTTGTTTTATGGTTGCCAACGTTTTAACAATAATGTCACGGCTTCTAACTGTGAAAACAAGATGACAAATTCTAATATTATTAAAACATGTACAGCGTGCACATATACATTGTATTTTTAAATTATAGTTAATGCACAGATACGGAAATAATAAATCGTTTAAATTTCGTTCAAAAATGGTAACTACAATTAGTAGCAACACCAGATTGCACTATTTAATCAGCAAGTTCTTGAATATTAATGAATTAAGACATTTATAAAATTTGTCCAAAAATAATCCGTATACCAATTCACATACCATATTTCGATAGATATATTATTTATAACCAATTATTGCAATTAAATTCACCATATACTATCCCTCAAAAATTTTGAGTATTCATAAATTTTAGATAAATAACGATTCTTTATCAATTATTTTATTCAAAAAAATAAAATTCATTTTCATTTTTATACGTACATTATTAATTTACAATCGAGATAATATAAATTTTAATATAAATATAATAATATGGCTCAATTAGAATAAATCAATGTAAATATATATAATGGCTACGAGCCAGTTAGAAATAAATTAAAGTATAGATATAAATAAATTTTAGTACATTTACAATGTTAATCAATAAGTTAGTTAACTTTTTCTTCCAAAATTTAGAAACGAACTAAAATTTTCAGCAATGGCGTATATGTTACAGTATAGATAAGTAGATATAACTTTTAATAATCATTCTCCCAACATTATATTGTCTCAAATAGCTAGCAAATATTAACATTTCTCAGGTCTAACATTAAATTTACTATTACAATATAACAATTTGTAAATCATTACGCATAGCTTTCAGTAAAAATTTAATAGCCTTGTGTTCCAATTTAGTATTATGGCAGAGAGGCCAAATGGCGATTGCTACACAACTGACAATATTCCTTATATTTCATTTCCTATGTTGGCACCAACCCTCTCAGAAATCGCAGAAGGTATGTATACAATGTTTATCATTTAATTCACTAAACACAACATATTCGATGCATATGTTATGATAACTAGTTCTGCAAAATGGAATGCAACCCCTGTTCCACGAAGTGAACGTCGACGTATTTAACTGCCCTTGTCTAACTGGAGCACCATATAATCTTGCCGGAGTAGGTAAGAAATCACAACAAAAAAGGTTTAATTTTTCAGTAAATAAAGTATCTTTAAAAAGTGAATAATTCATACAGGATTATGTGGCAACACGTCGATAATGAAATACGGTCGAATCAATTCAGAAAATTTAGAGGGGTGGAATTATAGAACACGGAATATTCGAGATATACTCACAACCAGCTGCCATGATTCCTTTATCATCGGATCTACTTACGCTACAAAACCATACATGCCTTATTACGGACATGTACGTATTATTAATATTTTCACATTGTCATGCCCATGTGGATAATACCATTATGACAACATGTTATGGTAATATATAATGCTACATAACTGGTAAGGTAACGATAGACAGCAAACTGTGATAATCTACGAATCATATCACCAAATCACCGTTATCTTATGGTTGTTTTGTAATCCTATTCTATTGATTTAATACTATTCAATATAATCTATTGAACTTCAATTATGTTTTTATCATACACATGATAAAAACTATGGCATTGTTGCTGTATCTGATAAACCTGATTACTGTTGTAGCTCATTATAAATGCAACGTACAGAGCACCTAATGATATTAGGAACGAGAGTCGCATTATTTTCGCAAACAGAGATAACAGGCAGACAAAGATAGAAAAGTTAACTAATTCTGATCATATGGTATTCACCAACAAGGGCACTTTCTTTGTCAGCGAGGGTAGGGCGGGCCATGTTATCAGAGTGCGTGCCAAAGGTCGAAAAACTATTGACATAGATATTATAACTACAATGCAAACGGTCCTTTACGAAAAATACAGAAGAACTAGATATCGTTCTATTGGTAATTAATAGTCGGGTATATACGGTAAACTCGGATAAGATGGGCATACGGGCCCCATAGGCTTTTAGAATGACTACAAAAATGCTCTCTTTAGCAATTATTGAAAAAATTACAACCTATGGCCATCTTTTGCGTGTGGCCTTGATACTCTAGTTTACCCTACAGTTAAAAAAAGGACATGTAAAGACAATCAGATAATTTTTTGTGTCTGGCCTCAAAGCTTTAGGTGGTGTTCTAAGAATGAGAAACGGACGTGTGGCGTGTAAAGTTATGTGGGACGAACATCAGGAACCGATGCCACTATTTTATGATTTTATTGAACGGCAATGTCTCGAGATAGATCTGGAGTCAGATATGGTAGCCGTTGGCACAATACTTAACGATAAGCCAGAACTATTGCCTCAGGAACAGCGTTATGGTCTTGTAAGTTATTTGTCCCGGTTATGCGGATACTAAAAACCATTGATCTTGAAGTTATCGTACTAGGTTATTTACCATACTTAAATATCATCAGAAATTTAATTTTTTGTTTATTAATTAATACTATTATTTTTGTCAATCCGCTTCTGTCAAATTTGAAAGTGTGATTATTAAGCTGAGTTAAAATAGTGGAACCTTTCTTAATCATTTAATCATTGAATGCAATAACTGCGTTTCAATCCGAAAATTTAAACATTCCGAATTGATATTCTTTAGTTATTCGTTTTTCAGAATCTGTACAATAGAAGTGAGTTCCATTGTTTCTCTAATTATGAAGCAGGCGGACAATTTATTAGCGATACTACTCCCGATACGACGGAATATGAAGGTTACTTTAATGTAGCGGAACAGATGAATTTAATATTATAACTAAATGCCATTTTAATATAAAAATAGGTCATTATGTAATCTCATGTGTAAACAGAAATTTATGTAATGTCACCTAGCACATTATTGTGATGAAGACGTCACATCGAATTACAATACTTTACAAGCCTTCTTTGACAGCTTTGAGAGCCTTCTTTATAATCCTTATTTTTTATAAATTAAAGAGGATGTATTGTTCTTAGTATTAGAGAAACATTTTAACAACTAATTCCTTTGGATATAAAGGTATAGAATCTTGCTACGTTTCCTTAAAACAAAAATTGAGTTCTAAATCATAATTTATATACTAATCATAAATTCATAATTTAATTACTTTAATAAAAAATAATTTAAATTGTAATATTTTTCGATATAGGTAGAATTTTGAAATAACATAGTTATTTCAAACATGAAAAATTTGTGTTCAAAGGAAAATATAAAAGATCAAAGAAAAATTGTCATACGTCATTTTATCTATGTACTTATTTCGTAATAGTAATTATATGAGACTCGTTTTCATTAAAGAGGTCTCAGATTAACAAATTACATTTTACTGTACAGAATTAATGACTGTTAAGTATTTTTGGTGTGTTTCCACATTTCTGAATCTTTTTTGAAAAGGACAATAAATTATAAATTTTTTAACAATATATGTATATGTATATGTGTATATATACACACAGTCCTTCATTATTGATACTAAATTTAAAATTGATAAAATTTTTCATTCCGTGCATTGGAAGTTCGTGTAGGAGATATTTTTCTTTGAAATTTTAAGATACCTTTCAGAACTTGTTTAGCATTAACTGAATACTATGTTAAAGCCCGATTGCACCAACATTACTTTAACTTTAAGCAAGGTTTAAAACTCTTTCTATCTCGTTTTAAAGCGAAAGAGAGACAGAGACAGAGAGAAAGAATTTTAAGCCTTGCTTAAAGTCAAACGTTGCAACCGGGCCTAAGAAATATTAAAATTTGTACCATTCGTTTTGTAGAAACATGCACTTAAATTTGTTGCAGTAAAATCTCACTCCAAGAGAAAATACAACCATCCTTAGAAAAATGAAAACTTCCATTCTTTTTAAATTTCACTCTTTTTGAAATAAAATTTCACTCCTTTGAAGTGAAAATTTACTCTAAAAAAGTGAAAATTGTCAATCTCTTCCAAGAAATCAAATATTTTCACTTGTTCAAGGATTGTATATATTATTTATTATATATTATCTTTATTATTATATTGGATTATATATTATCACTTTCTTGGATTTCACTGATATTTAACTGCAAGAAATTGCGTGATTTTATTTCGGCTGTCTATCTGCTTGTACATCAAATTTTTTAAAATATTATTACGTACTTTATGGGAATGAAATAATTTTTATTCGTTATATACCCTCATCATTACTTTTTATATTAAAGATTTGATAATAACGTTGTATTTTTTATGACTATGAAGATAACATTGTTATGACTATAAAGATAACCAACTAAACGTTAAAGTTGCGCTAAAGTTAAGAAAGTCAGTTTGAAAAGTAACTTTTATTTCTATTACGCATTATGGTTACTGATAAAGATGGTAAGTAATTTATAATGCATCGACGAGTTACTTTTTAACTTAAAATTAACAAATAAAAGTAACTAGTTACAAATAAAAAGTTATTTTTTTAATAACGACTTTAAATCTGTTAGACGTAACGTTTAACTTTTCCAACTTCTTTGCTACCATTACCGTCATAAAAAATTCGCAATATCATTACCGAAATGTTATTATAACGAAATAACGGTAAGAATTAATCATTTCCTCGTTTCACGTTTCTCAACGTTATAACTGTATAATGTAAATTTCTTTCTCACATTCATATCAAATGTGACTCATACGAATTTGTCCATTTATATGTACCATAATGACCTGAAATAAATGCATTAAATTAAATTATTTTTATTTCTTATCAACTAAATCCTATATAAGATGTAATGTATATACAATTTGTATAAATACATACAATACATGCATAATCTTATAATTATAATAAAAATTGTAAAAATTATAATAAAAATTGACACATTATGAAAGCTATATTTTCTGAACAATTCTTATAAAATTCAGTAATGATTCTATTTTCTGCATAAATATCACCTTTAATCAATGATTGTTTCAGATCAATTTTTTAAGACTATTAATTTTAATCTCTGCAATAAAGAATGTGGAGTAACTCTGGTATGTACGGTACACCTAACAAAAACTTGATTTATTAAGTGTTACTGACTATGTTTAAAGTAAACGAACTATATCAGTAAAAACTTTGTACTGTCTACTACTATGAAAAAAATATTAGAAATCCGAAATATATATATTTATTTTTCGTATTAAAAAATGAACTTTTTTAAACCCTTGCAGTTTTGCCGTATATTCCGTAGAGGTAGGATGTACGGCTACTCATTGAGGGAAAGGGGGTATGAACGACTGATGACAAATTTACAAACAATGCACATAAATAAAACGTAAAATGACACAATAACTTATAAAATACGTTAATAAAGTTTTATTAAGAAATAAGAATGATAAATATGTATATGAAGTAATAGTTAATAATTACAATCTTCCTACATATATTACAAGCGTTATGACATGAGGTACACGTTTCATGTAATGCGTTTATTGCATTTAGTGCACTGAATTCAATTTTCGCACTTGTATGCTTTGGGCATAAATCCCGTCCGCTAAAAATGCCGTATATCCTAAACAGGTGGGACATATAAAACAACAAACTAAACAAAGAATACGAAAGCAAAGAACTTGTATTTTACTGTACAATATGCTTTACTTTATTCCTGTACACGTATGTATCACGAAATAACCACTAAATCTTTTATATGCCCTACAGTAATCATTTTATGTAGATTATAATTCGTGATGGAGCTACTTATTACAGTGACAAATCGATTCAACTCACAATAATTTCATTAATATTAACAGTAAGAAGCTGAAATGATAACACAATACTAATATAACATAAAAGAATGTAATAGAGTAATTACGGGAAAATTACCCCACTCCTATTTTTTTCTGACTTCTGCAGCGTAAATCCCAGCACGGCGTATTTGCCGGAGTTTTACCCTATGTATTTGAATGCATGTACTCAAACAGAACATGTTTAACTTAAGACGGCTGCACACGATTTTTTCTGACTGGATTGCTTTCTGGATTAGATTTTTGCCACCATGTTGGCTGCGATGCTAATACTGTCAGCGAATACGGTGGCAAGATTCTATTCCAGCTTGCAACCCAGCAGAAAAATAAGCACCGTTTGCCGCAGGCTTTAAATACGTTATACATTTTCCAGTAAAGAAATAAAGATTAAATTAATATAAGTCGAATGAAATATCCTTTTCTAGTATGAAGATATGTACATAGTACCAGTATGTACATAGCTCCAATGCATCAATTAGCTCCATCATTGCAGCATTACATGTTGAAAATAAACAAAATAAACAACAATATTGGATTAATAATAAAACGTAGGTTAATAATAAAATATATATTACATAGGATCATTTTAACAATATCGCGTCTGTTTTCGAATAGACAAAGCTTTTTATAAATTTGTCGGCTTTAAATCAACTTTTTATTAAAAATAAATAATGCATTTTAAATTTCAATTAATTTGTCGATTTCGAAAGCTGTCAACGATCACACAAAATTATGTTTATCTGTTACTGACTCTTATGACCGCTATAATTCTACAGTTCCATAAATTATTATTGTCTGATACATTTGCGAAGGAGCAGTGTCAATGTGCGTCATATCATTATTCGTAAAGGTATGACAAAAAGGAAGTGTCTGTGACGGCAATTTAAATAAGAAATTGGACTGTCTACAATAAAACAATACTTTTGCAACGTAATTAGTAAATATACAACACATATATAATACTTGACGTGCAAGCACACGACATAATATCTGTTTTAGTCTAATTTAAACGATCGAAAGCGACGAGAAAATAGGATGTTTAAATAAGTACAACATTTAACGATTTAATAAAATAGTGAATATGATACAATAATGCATAAAACATTTTGGCTCACATAATTTATATCAATTCATGATTGAACATATAAAAAAAAAGAATATTACGAATTACAGTTTAAATAAGGCTCTAAATAAATATAATTTAAATAAACAATTAAGAACTGAAGGAGTCGATCTAAATCTATTGTGCTAATACTTAATTAAACATCCTGTTTAAATTCCAAACTTTTCGATCATTTTTCTATGATCCTTGTTAGTGGTGTACATAACTTGACAATTTGAGTAAATGACACCATCAATTATTAGTTTTCTATTATGTCATCACGTTTAACATTGACTAATAATTCTTCGTTAAATTAAACCATAGACATTATTGTGATCTACCTAGTATGATTCTTGATTTGAAACTATTTCCAGTGATGTATACTAAAAGATCATATAATGACTATGACTTTAATGAGGAATTACTTGACAACGTTATACAAGGTGATATAAGGTGATATAATGGAAAACTAATAATCAATTGTTACTGCCACTTATTCAAATTGTAAAGTTAGATACATCACTGAAGAGGATCATAATAAAATGACTGAAACATGTGGAATTTAAAGAGGATGTTTCATTTAGTATCAGTACAATAAATCCAGCTCGACTGCTTTAGCACTTAATTGTTTAGTTAAAGAATATTATGAATTAGCCAAACATTATCATTTCAATTATTGAGATTAAGAGAGATGTGGAGATTGTATATTTTTTCTTTTGTATATGTTTAACTGATGAAGCACATTCTGTGAGCTGAACATATTACACATTATTGTAACGTATTCACTATTTTATTAAATTGTTAAACATTTTGCTTGTTAAATTTATACATCTTATTTGCTCGTCTCTCGGTCGTGTAAATTATTTTTATCGTGTAAAGTATATTTTCTGGTTTGCAAACTAACGGTTATCTGACATATTTGTTTGTTTATTTTTATTATTTAATTAATAATATTTAATCTCTAAATACTTAAATTTAGACAAGTTTTGCGTTTCATTGATAGCAACAATTCGACAACTCTATTATCACAGCTTCTACATGTGAAAATAAAATTGTACTTTTATTAACATGCGCGGCATATAATTATACAATACTTTTTAATTATAATTAATGCACGAATACTTACGAAAATAATAAATCGTTTAAATTTTGTTCGTAAATAGCAACAACAATGTCGTGTGTGCAATACGCTGTGTGCAATATTTCTAAGTGCAAACGAATCTGTAGGCAATCGTTTTGTAGGCAAACGGAGCGCTCCCATTATTTATGACAGATTATTGCACGTTAATTAGTATATACTGTCATTCAAAAGTTTGGAGTATTTTATCATATTTAGATAAATCACAATCCTTTATCTACTATCTCAATAAAAAAAATATTTATTTTTATTCTTAAACATCATTAGAATAAGTGTATGAACACATTATTAGAATAAAAACTAGAATATAATTAATAAAATACATTATTATGGAATAATTTATTATTAAAGTAATAGAAACTTTAGTACATTTACAATGTTAATAAATAGGTAGGTTAATTAAATTTTCTTTCCAAATTTAAAGATGTATCAAACTTCTCAGCGAAGGCGTATATATTATACTATAGATAAGAATAATAAATTAGCAATCATTCCTCCAACTTTATATTATTTGCAACGTCATCAACCTTTTCAGCCGTAACATTAAATTTACTCCTATGATATAACAATTAGCAAATTATAACACGTAATCTTTAGTCGAATTTTAATAGCCTTGTGTTCCAGTTTTAATTTGGTATTATGGCAGAGGCGACAAATGGTGATTGCTACACAACTGACGTCCTTCCTTATCGTCCACTTAATTTGTTCACACCAATCTTCTCAGAAATCGCAGAAGGTATATATACAATGTTTCCTTTCATTCACCAAACACAACATATTTGATGCATGTGTTATGATAATAGTTCTGCAAAATGGAATGCAACCCCTATTCCACGAAGTGAACGTCGACGTATTTAACTGCCCTTGTCTAACTGGAGCACCATATAATCTTGCCGGAGTAGGTAAGAAATCACAACAAAAAGGGTTTAATTTTTCAGTAAATAAAGTATCTTTAAAAAGTGAATAATTCATACAGGATTATGTGGCAACACGTCGATAGCGAAATACGGTCGAATCAATTCAGAAAATTTAGAAGGGTGGAATTATAGAACATGGAATATTCGAGATATACTCACAACCAGCTGCCATGATTCCTTTATCATAGGATCTACTTACGCTACAAAACCATACATGCCTTATTACGGACATGTACGTATTATCAATATTTTCACATTTTCATGCCCACGTGGATAATATCATTATGACAATATGTTATGGTAATATATCACTGCTACATAACTGGCAAGGTAATAGACAGCAAACTGTGATAATCTACGAATCATATCACCAAATCACCGTTACCTTACCATTGTTTTGTAATCCTATTCTATTGATTTAATACTATTCAATATAATCTATTGAACTTCAATTATGTTTTTATCATACACACCACTCCTATGACATTGTTGCTGTATCTGATAAACCTAACTATTGTTGTAGCTCATTATGAATGCAACGTACAGAGCACCTAATGATATTAGGAACGAGAGTCGCATTATTTTCGCAAACAGAGGTAACGGGCAGACAAAGATAGAAAAGTTAACTGATTCTGATCATATGATATTCACCAACAAGGGCACTTTCTTTGTCAGCGAGGGTAGGGCGGGCAATGTTATCAGAGTGCGTGCCAAAGGTCGCAAAATTAGTGACACAGATATCATAACTTCAATGCAAAAGGTCCTTTATGAAAAATACAAAAGAAATAAATATGAAACTGTTGGTAATTAATAGCTTGGTGTATTGGTAAACTCGGATAAAAGATGGGCATACGGGGAAGATGGTCCCACAGGCATTTAGAATGACTAAAAGATGGCCTATTTAGCAATTATTAAAAAAATTACAGCCTATGGCCATCTTTTCCGTATGGCCATGATAACCTAGTTTACCCTACAGTTAAAAAAAAGGACATGTAAAGACAATCAGATAATTTTTTATGTCTGGCCTCAAAGCTTTAGGTGGTGTTCTAAGAATGAGAAACGGACGTGTGGCATGCAACGTTATGTGGGATGAATATGAGGAACCGATGCCACCATTTTACGATTTTGTTAAACAACTGCAATGTCCCGAGATAGATCTAGAGTCAGATATGGTAGCCGTTGGCACAATACTTAACGATAAGCCAGAACTATTGCCTCAGGAACAGCGTTATGGTCTTGTAAGTTATTTGTCCCGGTTATGCGGATACTAAAAACCATTGATCTTGAAGTTATCATATTATGTTATTTACCATACTTAAATATCATCAGAAACTTAATTTTTTATTTATTAATTACTGTACCAAAAGAAATTGCTTCAATCCGCTTCTGTCAAATTTGAATCTGTGATTACTAAGTTGAATTAAAATAGTCGAACCTTTCTCAATCATTTAATCATTGAACGAAACAGTTGTGTCTGTGAATCCTAAAATATAAACATGCCGAAGTATTGATAAGTTATTCGTTTTTCAGAATTTGTACAAAAGAAGTGAGTTCCATTGTTTCTCTAATTCTGAAGCAGGCGGACAATTTATTAGTGATACTACTCCGGATACGACGGAATATGAAGGTTACTTCAATATAGCGAAAAAGCTAAATTTAATATTATAACTAAATGCCATTTTAATATAAAAATAGGTCATTATGTAATCTCATGTGTAAACAATTTTTGTAATGTTACCTATCACATTAGTAGGACGAAGACGTCACATCGGATTACAATACTTAATAAATCTTCTTTAACGTATTTTTTATAAATTAAGGAGGATGCATTAATATTAGAGAAACATTCTAACTATTAATCCTTTTGGATTTAAAGGTATAGAATCTTGTTACGTTTCGTGGACACAAAAATTGATAAACTAACTAAATTCATAATTTATATTATTATATCACAAATTCATAATTTAATTAAATTAATTAAAAACAATTTAAATTGTAATATTTTTCGATATAAGTAGAATTCTGAAATAAATAACATAATTAAATGAAAAATTTTGTGATCGAAGGGAACAAATATAAAAGATCAAAGCAAAATTGCATACGTTATTTTATCTATGTACTTATTTCGTAGTAGTAACTATGTGAGACTCGTTTTCATTAAAGAGGTCTCAGATTAACAAATGATATTTTATTGTACAGAATTAATGATCGTTAAGAATTTTTGGTTCCCATATTTCTGAATCTTTTTGGAAAATAACAATAAATTCTAAATTTTTTAACAATATATACATATATATATATATATATATAGGTACAGTCCTTCATTATCGGGACTGAATTAAAAATTCCAGTGCAGGGAATTCTTCATTCTCTGCATTGGAATTTTCTGGTTGAAGTTCGTGTAGGAGATATTCTTCTTTGAAATTTTAAGATACTTCAGAACTTGTTTAACATTAACTGAATGCTACGTTAAAGCCCGATTGCACCAACGTTACTTTAACTTTAAGCAAGATTTAAAATTCTCTCTGTCTCGTTTCAAAGCGATAGAGAGACAGAGACAGAGAGAGTTTTCAGCCTTGCTTAAAATCAAACGTTGCAACCGGGCCTAAGAAATATTACAATTTATATCATTCGTTTTGTAGAAACATGCACTTAAATTTCTTGCAGTGAAATCTCATTCCAAGAGAGTGAAAATACAACCACTTTTGAAAGAGTGACGATATTCATTTTTTTTTTAATCTTACTCTTTTTGAAGTGAGATTTCACTCCCTTGGAGCGAAAATTCACTCTAAAAAGAGTGAAAGTTGTCACTTTCTTCCAAGAAGTGAAATATTTTCACTTTCTTGTATTTCACTGAGATTTCACTGCAAGAAATTTAAAGTGTAACTTTATTTTGCCTGTCAATGTGATGGTACATCAAATTTTCTTAAATATTATTACGCACTTTATGGGAATGAAATAATTTCTATGTTATCGTTATATACTTTCACCATTTTCTTTTATATTAAAAATTTAATAATAACGTTGTATTTATTATAACTGTAAAGATAATTAACTAAATGTTAAAGTTACGCTAAAGTTAAGAAAGTCACTTTGAAACGTAACTTTCGCTTCTATTACGCGTTATGGTTACTAAAAAGATGGTAAAAAACTTATAATGCAGCGACGAATTACTTTTTACGTTACAAGTAACAAATAAAAGTTACTAGTGACAAATAAAAAGTTATTTTTTTATAATGACTTTCAATCCGTTAGACGTAACTATTGACTTTTTTTTGACAAACTTTCTTGCTACCATTATCGTCATAAAAAATTCGCAATATCATTACCAAATTGTTATTATAACGAAATAACGATAAAAATTAATCATTTCCTTGTTCACCGTTTCTCAATGTTATAACAGTATTATAACTGTATAATGCAAATTTCTTTCTTACATTCATATCAAATGCGACTCATACAAATTCATTTATATATAATGACCTGAAATAAATGCATTAAATTAAACCATTTTTATTTCTTATCAGCTAAATCCTATATAAGACGTATCGTCATTATAAGATAACTGTATTGTATGCAGTTATACGTATAACTACATACAATACATGCATAATCTTATATGACTCAGCCACTCATAATCTTCGAATAAATTTCGTTACATATTCATTGAGTATTCCGACGTATTCAACATATTATACTTATGCACCAGCGTATACATATATGTACATATATATACAGTGAGAGCAAAAAGTACTCCTACAACAAAATTTTTATGAAGAAAAACTCTATTTGTAGAGAATATATCTACATATAATAATTAGCTGTTTTATACATTGAATACATTCTATTTTAATATATAGCAAACGAGTATTGCATGTGTTCCCGATTTTAGAAGCTAATTTCCTTGACTGTATGAATATTTTTGTGAGACCAAATAATACCATTCCAGATATTTTCTTATTTTAAAGTAATATACTTTATTTAATTACTACATTCTTTTTGGTATAATAATTTCTTGAAATGCACAGTTCACTTTATTCTTTATAAATAAATATCAGTAAAAGATGTAAGGACTAAATTAATATAAGACAAATGAAATACTCTTTTCCAGTATGAAGATTTATACGCAGTTCAAACGCAATTAACTCCATCATTGCGGCATAACATAATGAAAATAAACGTAACAAACAACAATATTGGATTAATAATAAAACATGGATTAATAATAAAATGTATATTATATGGAATAATTTAAATAATATCGCGAATAGATAAAGCGTTTTATAAATTTTTCGGCTTTAAATCAACTTTTTATTAAAAATAAACGATGCAATTTAAATTTCAATTAATTTGTGGATTTCAAAAACTGTCAACGATCACACATAATTATGTTTATCTGTTACTGACTCTTACGACCGCTAGAATTCTACAGTTCTTTAAATTATTATTGATTTCATACGATTGCGAAGAAACAGCGTCAGTGTATGTCATACCCTTATTGGTACTGGAGTGACAAAAAGACGTGTCTGTGACGACGATTTAAATTAAAGGAATTGGACAATCTGCATCAAACAAGATTTTTGCAACCTAATTAGTAAGTACACAACTCATATGCAAGTACAGGACATAATATCTGTTTTAGTCAAATTTAAACGATCGAAAGCGACGAGCAAATAAGATATTTAAATAAGTACACCATTTAACGATTTAAAATAGTGAATATGACACAATAATGCGTAAAACATTTTGGCTCACAGAATCTTCATCAATTCATGATTGAACATATAAAAGAAAAGAATATTACGAATTACAGTTTAAATAAGGCTCTAAATAAATATAATTTCCAATTTCCATTGGATTGCGAATTTCAAAACTCGTTAACGATTTCACAAAATTATGTTTATCTATTACTATTGACTCCTATGACCGCTATGATTCTATAGTTTCTTAAACCATTATTTTCTCGTTACATTTGAAGAAGCAGCAACAAAGTGAGCCATTCGTATAGATACAGCAAAGACGTGACGGTGATTTAATTACGAAATTAAAGTCAGCAATCGTACTATACTTTTGCAACATAATTAGTAAGTACACAACTCATATACTTGACACACGCGACATAAAATCTTTATTATTATAATTTAAACGACTACGAGACGCGCAAACAAGATATTTAAATAAGTAAAACGTTTAACAATTTTATAAAATAGTCAATATAATATAATAACGCATAATACATGTCGACTCACAGAATTTTCATTAAGTCATGATTAAATATATAAAAGAAAAAAGAAGATTATGAATTATAATTTTAAATATGGTTCTAAATAAATACAATTCGACTAGACAATTGAAGGCTAAAGAAGACCGGCTGGATCTATTGTGCTGATACATAATAAAACATCCTCTTTAAATATTCCAAATTCGATTATTTCACTATGATTCCTTTCAATGGTGCATGTAATTTTACAATTTCCATAAATGATAGTAACAATTACTGAGTTTTCATTCCATTTACATCATACTGATGAGTATCGTCAAATAATTCGTCGTTAAAATTATAGATATTATGTGAACTTCCTAGTATGATCGTTGATTTGAAACAATCAGTACAGTCTTTGCTTTACAAACAAATAAACGTTAACTGATTAATTTGTTTCATTATCTTCATTACTTATTTAATAATATTAACAACGTTTTGACAATATTATCACGTCTTCTAGCTGTGAAAATAAGATAACAGATTGTAATATTATTAAAACATGTTCAGAGCGTGCAGGAATACATTGAATTTTTAAATTATAGTTAATGCACAGATACGGAAATAATAAACCGTTTTGTTCAAAAATGACAACTACAAGTAATAACAACAGTTTACACTATTTAATCAGCAAGTTCTTGAATAATAAGACATTTTTAAATTTTGTTCAAAAATAATCCGTATACAATTCATATAACATATTTCGATAGATATATTATTTATAACAAATTATTGCAATTAAATTCACCATATACTATCGCTAAAAAATTTGGAGTATTTCATAATTTTTAGATAAATAACGATTCTTTATCAATCACCTTATTTAAAAAAATAAAATTCATTTTCATTTTTATACGTACATTATTAATATACAATGGAGATAATATAAATTTTAATATAAATATAATAATATGGCTCAATTAGAATAAATCAATGTAAATAAATAGAAGGGATACGAGCTAGTTAGAAATAAATTAAAGTATAGATATAAATAAATTATAGTATATTTACAATCTTAATCAATAAGTTAGTTAAATTTTCTTTCGAAATTTAGAAATGCACCAAACTTCTCAACAATGGCGTACATATTACAGTATAGATAGGTATAACTTAGCAATCATCCCCCCAACATTACATTATCTCAAATAGCTCGCTTATATCAACCTTTTCAGCCGTAACATTAAATTTACTATTATAATATGACAATATGTAAATTACTACGCATAGCTTTCAGTAAAAATTTAATAGCCTTGTGTTCCAATTTAGTATTATGGCAGAGAGGCCAAATGGCGATTGCTACACAACTGACGATCTTCCTTATCTTCCAATTCCTTTATCGCCACCAACCCTCTCAGAAATCGCAGGAGGTATGTATACAATGTTTATCATTTAATTTACTAAATACAACATATTCAATGCATATGTTATGATAACAGTTCTGCATTATGGAATGCAACCCCTGTTCCACGAAGTGAACGTCGACGTAGTTAGCTGCCCTTGTCTAACTGGACCACCATATAATCTTGCCGGCGTAGGTAAGAAATCACAACAAAGCGTCAAATTTTTCAATAAATGAAGTATCTTTAAAAAGTGAATAATTCATACAGGATTATGTGGCAACGCGTCGGTAGTGAAATATGATTCGGAAAACTCAGAGGGGTGGAATCATAGAACAAAGAATATTCGAGATATACTCACAACCAGCTGCCGTGATTCCTTTATTATCGGATCTACTTACGCTACAAAACCATACATGCCTTATTACGGACATGTACGTACTATCAATATTTTCACATTTTCATGCCCATGTGGATAATTTCATTATGACAATATGTTATGGTAATATATCACTGCTACATAACTGGCAAGGTAATAGACAGCAAACTGTGATAATCTACGAATCATATCACCAAATCACCGTTATATTATGGTTGTTTTGTAATCCTATTCTATTGATTTAATACTATTCAATATAATCTATTGAACTTCAATTAAATTTTTATCATACACACGACTCCTATGGCATTGTTGCTGTATCTGATAAACCTGATTACTGTTGTAGCTCATTGTGAATGCAACGTACAGAGCACCTAATGATATTAGAAATGAGAGTCGCATTATTTTCGCAAACAAAGGTGACGGACAGACAAAGATAGAAAAGTTAACTAATTCTGATCATATGATATTCACCGACAAGGGCACTTTCTTTGTCTGCGAGGGTAGAGCGGGCAATGTTATCAGAGTGCGTGCAAAAGGTCGAAAAACTAGTGACACAGATATCATAACTTCAATGCAAACGATCCTTTACGAATACTACAAAAGAAGGAATAGAGATCGTGTTGTTGGTAATTAGTAGTCAGGTGTATAGGTTAAACTCGGATAAGATGGGCATACGGAGAAAATGGTCCCATAGGCTTTTAGAATGACTACAAAAATGCTCTGTTTAGCAATTATTGAAAAAATTACAGCCCATGGCGATCTTTTCTGTATGACCATGATACCGTAGTTTAAAAAACCCTACAGTTAAAAAAAGGACATGCAAAGACAATCAGGTAACTTTTTATGTCTGGCTTCAAAGCTTTAGGTGGTGTTCTAAGAATGAAAAACGGACGTGTGGCATGTAATGTTATGTGGGACGAATATGAGGAACCAATGCCACTATTTGATGATTTTGTTAAACAACTGCAATGTCCCGAGATAGATCTAGAGTCAGATATGGTAGCCGTTGGCACAATACTTAATGAAAAGCCACAACTGTTGACAGATCAGGAACAGCGTTACGGTCTTGTAAGTTATTTGTCTCGGTTATGTGGATACTGAAAACCATTGATCTTGAAGTTATCATATTATGTTATTTACCACAGATAAGTATCATTAGAAATTTAATTTTGTGTTTATTAATTGATATTTACAATTACTTTTGTCAATCCGCTTCAGTCAAATTTGAATCTGATGACTATTAAATTGAGTTAAAATAGTGGAACCTTCCTCAATCATTTAATCATTGAACGCACCAGTTGCGACTGAATCCTAAAATTTAAACATACCGAAGTATTGATATTCTTTAGTTATTCATTTTTCAGAATCTGTACAATAGAAGTGAGTTCCATTGTTTCTCTAATTATGAAGCAGGCGGACAATTTATTAGCGATACTACTCCCGATACGACGGAATATGAAGGTTACTTTAATGTAGCGGAACAGATGAATTTAATAGAAGATGTCACATCGGTATGATAACTATATGCAATTTTAATATTAAAATAGGTCATTATGTATTGTCATACGTAAACAGAAATGTATGTAATGTTACTTAGCACATTATCCGATGTGATGAAAATGTCACATCGGATTACAATACTTAATAAGACTTCTATGACGTACTTTTTATAAATTAAAGAGGATGTATAGTTCTTAATATTAGAGAAACGATCTAATTAATCCCATAGGATTTAAAGATATAGAATTTTGCGACGTTTTCTTGAAACAAAAATTTATAAAGTATTTTTCGATATAGAGGTAGAATTTTGAAATAGATAACATAATTACATGAAAAATTTGTGTGCAAAGGGAAATATAAAAAATCAAAGAAAAATTGCATACGTTATTTTATCTATGTACTTATTTCGTAGTAGTAACCATGTGAGACTCGTTTTCATTAAAGAGATCTCAGATTAACAAATGACATTTTACTGCACAGAATTAATGACCGTTAAGAATTTTTGGTTTCCATATTTCATTAATCTTTTTGGAAAATGACAATAAATTTTAAATTTTTTAACAATATATATATATACATACAGTCCTTCATTATCGAGACTGAATTAAAAATTCCAATGCAGAGAATTCTTCATTCTCTGCATTGGAATTTTCTGGTTGAAGTTCGTGTAGGAGATATTCTTCTTTGAAATTTTAAGATACTTCAGAACTTGTTTAACATTAACTGAATGCTACGTTAAAGCCCGATTGCACCAACGTTACTTTAACTTTAAGCAAGATTTAAAACTCTTTCTATCTCGTTTTAAAGCGAAAGAATGACAGAGACAGAGAGAGAGAGTTTTAAGGCTTGCTTAAAGTGAAACGTTGCAACCGGTCCTAAGAAATAATACAATTTGTAACATTCGTTTTGTAGACACATGCACTTAAAACATGCACTTTCTTGCAGTGAAATCTCACTCCAAGAGAAAATACAACCACCCTTGGAAAAGTAAAAACTTCTATTCTTTTTAAATTTCACTCTTCTTGGAATGAAGTTTCACTCCTTTGAAGTGAAAATTCATTCTAGAAAAAAATAAAAGTTATCATTCTGTTTCAAGGAGTGAAATATTTCACTTATTCAAAATTGTATTATCACTTCCTTGGACTTCACTGCAAGAAATTTAGAGCGTGACTTCATTTTGCCTGTCTAGCTGCTTGTACATCAAATATTTTAAAATATTATTACATATTTTATAGGAACGCAATAATTTCTATGCGTTTTATACTTTCAACATTACTTTTTATATAAAAATTTGATAATAACGTTGCATTTTTTATGACTGTAACGATACCATTGATATGACAATAAAGATAACTAACGTTAAAGTTGCGCTAATGTTAAGAAAGTCACTTTGAAGAGTAACTTTTGTTTCTATTACGCGTTATGGTTACTGAAAAAGGT